GAGTCTGCATCGGCGGATTGATGAAGTGTATAATTACATACCGAAGAAAGTTGACCAGGTTGGTAACTGGAAGGGCAATACTCACAGGAATCTTTGAGTAGACAAATGAGATAGAAGGTGTGGCATCATTCTTGTAAGGGGAAATTAGTATATATACCTAGCTAGTGAGGAAAAAAGAAGGGAGATATAGTAGAGAGATCTCCGTGGTTTCCAAAACACTAGGCGTTGATTTGGAGCGTCGCAAGGGTAAAGAAACCAAACCAGGAAAAGAAAAGGGAAGAAAGAAAGAAAGAAAGAAAGAAAGAAAGAAAGAAAAAAAAAGAAAACAACAAGTAGCTAATGATTACAGACCAATACTGCGTAATAAATCAAATGAATAAGTAAATAAAAGAAAACCTGTGCGAAAGCAGCCAAATCAGAAATAGATAGGCAAACGTATCCGGGGAGGTGGGCCAAGACCAAAACACGTAGCGAGACATGGACATTGACTTTGAGTTCAAAAAGCCCACCTCCCAGCCATCAAATCGTATAAATGTATACATATATATATAGACAGGAAAATGCACCAAAAGGCATTTCCTCTGCGCTAGAAGAGAGCCTAATGTAGGTAAGCGTTCTCCCTAATCAGCTAGGAATAACTGCTTTGCGGTTGTCGAGTAAATAGATAAAATAGGCAGAGTAGGAAGAAAAGATGGATAGATAGCAAGGAAAATTGGACATGGTATTGTGAGAAAGCGTCAAGGCGAAGGAGTTCAGAAACAAACATGATATATATATGTATATGTACATATATAAAGGACCAGAAAGTAATGAAAAATAAATAAGACTAAAGAAAAAATAGAGAACGAAGCTGGCCACAAAGGTTGCGCAAGGTATGGACTAATGAATAAGGTATTTTTGGGACAAAGTGAAAATGATATCCAAGAAAGTAAAAATATAATAGATCAAATACGATGAAAAGCCGCCGGAAAAAAAGAGTCCAACCAGCATCGTTTTGCCACGGTGCCACAGAAAAGAATAAAAAGAAAATAGTAGAAAATAATAGATTAGACAGCGAGAGAAAAAGATGACGGGATTTGTTTGTAATGCCATGCCAGACAGCGCCAAAAAGAAGGAAAATAGTTTCAACGGGAACATCTCCAAAAACCCAGTTCAACGCCGTCCGAGCTCCTAGATGAAGAAATCAAGATAAATATAAATGAATATTGGTAGGAAATGGCGCTGAAGTGCCAATCAATGGAAGCATATGAGGCATTAGGACTCTTTTTGATTTTTCGGGGTGGGTTCGGGGTGGCGGGGTTGTGGTGTGGTGGTGAGCAGGAATGATTGATATTCGCCGCTTTTTGCATCAAAGTATTCCCGAATCTTTTAAAGCATTTTGTAAAATGGTTTCTTTGACGGCGGCGAAGACAAGTCGGATGTTTGAGGTATCGGTAGCTTGTGTTAGGCTGCGGAGGGGTTGGTTTGTTAGTTAAGAGGCAAGAGATGGGATCACTGATAAAACACATAAAATGGATGGTGACTAGACAAATCATGCAGGAAACATACTGAGGGTAGAGATTCAGGTGCGCCCGATTTACTTGGTTGAATCTCCATAGGAGGTATTTCGCTGCACGATTAACATCATTCCCACCGGAGTAATCGGGGAAATATTTGTTAAGCGGTGACCGGCCGAGTTTCAGCCGGAAGAGATCGACTTTATTCAAGAAGAGGATGATACTCGTTCGCATAAACCACCTGGAATTGACCACAGAGAGTCAAACAACACCAAACTTTCCATCATACGGTTCTTTTGAAT